TGTGTGTGTGTGTGTGTGTGTGTGTGTGTACGTGTGTACAGATTTAAACAGTTTAAGGCTCAAAACATTAACAACCTAGAAAAAAGAAGCCTTAGCCCAGCCCTCTCTAAATAATAATACGTTTCCCAAATGTGTAAGCTGCAATGTTCAGAATTTGCCAGCCAGCAAGTCTATTGCTGAAAGTACAGGTTCTCAATTTACGACCACAATTGAGCCCAAATTATATGTTGTTAAGTGAGACATTTGTTAAGTTAGTTTTGCTCCATTTTAGAACAGTTGTTAAGTGAATCACTACAATTGTTAAGTTAGTAACACTGTTGTTAAATGAATCTGGCTTCCCCATTGACTTCTCTTGTCAGAAGGTTGCAAAAAGTGATCACATTATCCCGGAACATTGCAACGGTCATGAATATGAGTCAATTGCCAAGCATCTGAATTTTGATCATCTGAACATGGGGATGCTGCAATGGTCACAAGTGTGAAAAACGGTTGTAAGTCACTTTTTTCAGTGCTGTTATAATTTTGAACTGTCACTAAATGAATTGTTGTAAGTCGAAGACTACCTGTACTGGGGTTGAAGTCAGCATACTGTACCTGGAGAATACTGAGTTGGTGGGACGCTGCCTTGACCTATACCAAAAAGGTTGTCCAGTGGAAATTAGTGGAAGAAAAGTCAGAGGCTAAGGGTCTATTTTTTTAATGCCCCGGTTCTTCCCTTCATTTTGGGTAGTTCATAAACCTGCAGAAGATCCTTCTGTCATTGACTTCAATGAAATAGAATTGATTTATTTTTGCCTGCTTTTGTATGAGATACATCATTTTAAAAGAGTTTTAAAATAGAACAAGCTAGTGTTTATTAATAGGTTTAAAGTGAAAATTAACATCTGAAGGAAGTTACTATATTAAATTGGTATGTGCAATTTAATCTTGTCAAGGACCAATTTAATTTTCTACCTCTCCTTGTTCGCGTGATAAATAATTTTATTTTAAACTTTGTACCTACTCTCATGTATATCACTTGAGGGAAATAAATCTTCTTTAGTTCAACTAGAAATCTTTCCAACAGAGTATGTTTAATGTAACATATCTGGCATGGTTGTGTTCATTTGGTTATTCTATTTTTACAAATGGAACTTGGTATAGAATGCTATAGTTATTTCACAAAGGTGTGAAATGTGTTCTTTACTGTGTTGTTTTTCAAACTATCTGCTAGATTCCATAACCACTGATCGGCTTACAGACAATGACTACATGAAACCAAGATTTTTTTTCTGTGCCTCAACAATGCCATTTGTCATTGTAGGTCTGTAGGTAGTTCAATTGCTGCTCTGGAATAAATGCTGCAAAAAAGATATTTTACTGCAAATTCATTCATTTCCCCTCCCCCCACCCCTCTTTCAATTTGTATAGGAACTCATCTCAGACAAATTATTCTGGGCAGCAAACAAAATTAAAATAAAAGTAAAACAATGTGGGAATGACCTTGGGGAAAAGAGGGAAGACATGCTGCCTAGGAAACAATCAGACAAGAGAGGCAAAAGCCCCCAGTGACTTAATAATCAGGGGGGAAAACTTATAAAGGACCCGCCCTAATGGATCAAGCAGTTAAAAATAACAGTGGGAAGTTTGTACTTTCAGACTTGCAAGTTTCTGTTAATGTGGCCTTACAATAAAGCAGATTTAGCTCATCAAGTCATGTTTCCTTTCTTGTTTACCCAGAGGGGGGTTGAGATAACATACAACAATACAAAAATTAAAATACAGGTGGTCCTTGATTTACAACAGTTTGTTTAATGACTGTTCAAAGTTACAACAGCACTGAAAAAATGATGTGTTTTTCACACTTAGAAACATTGCAGCAGCCTCATGGTTACATGACCAAAATGCAGATGCTTGGCAACTGGTTCACATTTATGACGGTTGCAGTATCTTGGGGTCATCAGCTTTTGCAACCTTCTGATAAGAAAAGTCAATGGGGAATCTAGACTCACTTAACAACCATGTTGCTAACTTAACAAATGCAACAATTCACTTAGCAACTGTGGCAAGAAAGGTCATAAAATAGGGCAAGCTCACTTAAATGTTTCACTTAGCAACATAAATTTTGGGCTCAATTGTGGTCGTAATTTGAGGATTATCTGTATATAGCAGCTAAGAAAAAAAAAATACTTGTTTTGAAAAACACACTCATGCCACGTGACAAACTGCTTTCAAAATTATCCATAGTGTCAACAGCAGTTTGTCATGATGGAAGGGCTGGTATTAAGAACCATGTTTGAAGATTTTATGGTGCAAGCAGGCTGTTCTTTAGATCCTATCAATTGTATTTTAAAAATAGTATTTCCTTGCATAACATTTTGAACAGTGTTTAAAAACCAATACATTATTTCTTATAGTACATTGAACTACTGTAATACTATAGGTTTTAGATGCTTTATGCTACCAGGTGATTTTTAGCTTTGTTTGCTAATGTTACCTGTAAATCAGGTTCAGCTTAAACAATACAAGCATGAAATTGGTGGTCCCCATGATGCCCCTATTGTAGCTTTTGGTTTCAGTCACTGTCATTCAGTCATCTGACTTCCCTCAAAAGTATAGAAACAGATCCTTATCCACTTTGAAACTCTGATTGGATTCTGTCCGTGTAAGGGGGAAAATCTTGTTTCTGAATACTACTAACACATTTAACATTTGTGTGTAACTTGCAAGAGTGAAATTTACAGTGACTGTGTGTGTCATACATTTAATATTTGTGTTGATAGTCTACAGCAGGAAGTAGCAGAACATCCTGTTTCTGAAAGAGAAAAACAATTTTTCAGGCTTTAAAGTACTGCATCTAAATCTTTAAGATTCAATTGAATACGATCAATTGACATATAGCATAACTAAAAGTAGAAGGAAAGTAAAGAAGATAAAAATTTCATATGATGTTATTTGAAAGTGATAGGAAATACTATTAGTGCAACTCAGTCTAATGCTATGTTCCTATTTAATATAGCCACAGTATAATTGTGCCCTGGCAACAATTATTTCTCCCCTGATATTGCCTTTATTTCTTCTTCAGCCCAAGAAAAGTGAGAGAATCTACATTGTAAGCTGTACAGGTCAACATTTTGAAAATTATCCAGAAGTATTTTGTCCAAGCACAGTGTCTCATTGCTATTTATTAAATCCCACTCCTGTTTTTGGGCTTCCATAGAAGCCTGAAAAAACATAATAGGTTAAAGAAGATGATTATGATTTATAAATTGGCCACAACTCATTTTAGATTTAGGCAGTAATCTGAAAAAAAGAGAGACTACTGTAGAAGTATGACATTTGCGTGAAACATTGAGGACCTTTTTAAAAAAAATCATTTTAAAAAATTGCACAGAGGTGACATTCTGAAGAAGGCTCAGCTCCAAATCTATTTGGAATAGTTTTCCTTACTGTAGACACCATGCTAGTTTGCATTTTAAAAAGGAACTATTAAAAAGTACAAATTACTACAGTAAAATTGGACTGCAAAATATAGGCTGTCCTGAACATGTATACCATGCTCACTACTACATTTAGAGTTAGAATCAGAGTGATATGTGTGCTCTTGGACCAAGATTTGAGTATTGACTTGGGCCAGGGAGCATTCATATCAGCTCCTTCGTAAATTATATCATATGGCCTTGACCAAATTAGCCTCTCTAATAACAATCTGCCAGATTATTAACATAGAGGAGGAAAGTTTCATGCCTGTGACCTTAAACTTTTTAAGATAACGTAGTTAACCTTCAAACATCTGTGGGATGCTACATTATTTAACTGGATTGTTTTTCAAGCAATTGGGAGAGGGTGGGAGAGAGATAGAAAGAGAGAGTGATATTGGAATGTGTGATATTTTCAGTTAGTAAATTCTAATTATTTCGTACTCTGTAAATAATGCCAGAAATGGTAATCTTAAGAACAGTGCAATATTATTCTAAACAAATGTCCTGTATTTGAGGGCTATTTGTAATCCATCTGAATATCATGACAGTCATGTCAGCATTCTTTTTTCTGGAGCAAAACACATTTGATTGGCTTCACTATGTGGTTATTTTAATTAGGCATTGCCAGATGTGGTTTCAGACCTATTCAGATAGCAAATTGAGTCCCCTGCCAAT